TTTTTTTTTTTTTTTTGGTCCGGTCATGGGGCCTGAACTCTGGGCCTGGGTGCTGTCCCTCAGCTCTTCAGCTCAAGGCTAGCGCTCTACACTTGAGCCACAGCGCCATTTCCAGCTTTTTTTCTTTTTGCTTATATGGTGCTGAGGAATCGAACCCAGGGCCTTAGGCATGCAAGGCAAGCATGCTACCACTGAACCACCTTCCCAGCCCTCAGTCTTTCATCCTAATCAGTTTGTTTGCTTGTCAGACAGGTGTGTTTCTTGAAAACAACAGGTGTTTGGGTCTTTTTTTTTTTTTAAACCAATTTGCCATTCTACGTTTTTTTTAATCTGGGAACTAAGTTTACTAGTCTACATTCTTACTCGACTCTTTCATATTATTTGCTGTACATATTAATTCTAGCACTTAGCAGAAGCTACCACTTTCAAAGATGGACCACACTGGGGTTGGGGAGGTGGCTCACTAGAGTGCTTGTCTTGCATACATGAATTTTCAGCCCAAGGTTCGATTCTTCAGCACCACATAGACAGAAAAACCCAGAAGTGGAGCCGGGTGCCAGTGGCTCACGCCTGTAACCCTAGCTACTCAGGAGGCTGAGATCTGAGGATCACCGTTCAAAGCCAGCCCAGACAGGAAAGTCCGTGAGACTCTTATCTCCAATAAACCACTAGAAAACTGGAAGTGGCACTGTGGCTCAAGTGGTAGAGTGCTCGCCTGAGCTGAAAAGCGCAGGGATAGTACCCAAATTCAAGCCCCATGACCGACAAAAAAAAGCCAGAAGTTGTGCTGTGGCTCAAGTGGTAGAGCGCTAGCCTTGAGCTGAAGAGCTGAGGGACAGCGTCCAGGCCCAGAGTTCAAGCCCCATGACCAAAAACAAAAACAAAAAAAGATGGACCACATTGACGGGGTTATTTCCTTTATATGGTCTTAGCTATGGATAAGACATAAAAATAAAATAAAATGTATCACAACCTGCCTACAGTTAAGAAGACTAAAAAGATTAAAAGAACACCTGTTTCATTCTTTAGAAATGATAGTCATGTATGTTTGTTCTCACCTGTCAAAAAGATGATGTTGAAGTACCCAGTTTTCGGATGCCCCCTCACAGACCACCAGAGACCACTATCAATACAAACAGCAAAGAGTCGTTTATTGCAAGCTTGAGCTTGGTCCTCCGTGCACTCGGTCACTAGTGACGCTAAGAGGCCCCGAGCACAAAATCAGCACAGTTTTTATAGTATTAAACAAGTTCACAAGTTCAGGGGGTTTTTACACAAGCAAGTTTACAAGTTCAGGGGGTTTAAGTCCACCTGACCGCACTTCCCCTTTTCTGATAGAACACTTAGGCAACTGTTCTGTTCCTTAAGGGTGGGCAGGGTTGGTGGCAACCTGCGGTTTCTCTAAGAACTATTTTTCTCTTTAGGGGTTACTCTGAGGGCAGATCTTAAAATGGAGTTACTTTAGCTCTTCAATGTAAGCACTCTCTGCTCTTTAATGAATACACTAACCTAATTTTTAATGAGAAATCTACCACTGTAACCTATTCCCATACTAATTATCTCCTTCAAATGATTTGAAGCTACCACACCAAATTATATGGTTTTAAATATCAAAATACGGTGTGAACATAAGCATTCATAGGTTTCAAGGGACTTGTGTTCGTGTGTGTGCGCGCGCGCGCACGTGCATGCGCGCTTGAACATGCGCGCTTGAACTCAGAGCCTTTGCACTGTCCCTGAGATCTTAAACTTAGGACTAGCACTCTATCATTTGCATTTTGGTGATTAATTGGAGATAAGAGTTTCACAGACTTTCTTACCCAGTGTGGCTTCAAATTGCTATTGTCCTGAGATGCTAAAATTAACAAGCATGAGCCACTAGCACCCAGCCTCAAAAGATTTTTAAGGTACTTAGGAATTTTGTAACTTTTCTAAGACTTTCTTTGCTATCTATGCAGGTTAAAAACCAATACCTATCAGTATATTCTGGCCTTCATTTTTGCCATTGAAGAGATCAACAGAAACCCTTTTCTCTCTCTTCCTTTTTGTCAGTTGTCGGGCTTGAACTCTAGGCTTGGGCACTGTCCCTGAGCCCGTCAGCTCAAAGCTAGCACTCTATCACTTGAGTCACAGCACCACTTCCAGCTTTTTCTGTGTATGTGGTACTGAGTAATCAAACCCGGGGCTTCATGCGTGCTAGGCAAGCACACTACCACTAGGCCACATTCCCAGCCAAGGGACCTTCATCTCTTACCAAATGTATCTCTCTGGATATGAGTCCATAATGTCTGGCACAGTCAATGGGGAACTTGGGACAGTTCTCCCCTTTTGCTCACAGGGCAGGAGGAAATACCTAATTACACCTGAAGGGGAGAGAGCAAGTCTATAGTAGCACTAACTGGAACATCTTGGTCAACTTCTGTTCAGATTGCAACACTGCTGGAACTCTACAAGTTTTCACAGGTGAGGGAATAGGATGAGAATTGAATTCCTGTTTCCACTTAGGCCAATCTTGTGTCACTAAAGAGACTGAAAGTAAGAGGCTCTTTATTTCAATACATAAAAGTGTATAACGCCCCGGCATTGGTGGCTTATACCTGTAATCCTAGCTATTCAGGAGGTTGAGATCTGAGGATCATGGTTCAAAGCTACCCTGGGCAGGAAAGTCTG